TCAATATAGGAACAAACTAAGGGCAGCATCGTGATTCTCTCGTCAATCCGCATCGAATGATATATATGTTGACCTCGAAAGGTCAAGGTCAAAGGTTGACCTCAGGTCACGTGACCTTGAGGTCATCATGTATATCATTCGATGCGCCTTGACGAGCTGAACACAATGAGACCATCCGCGCGGCTGTATCTTGTTCCTGTACGGAGTTATTGTCAAAAAACCGCTGGTGACCTTTGATGACGTCACATGACCTTACAGCTGCCCAACAGCAAAACAGGCCTCAAGGTAGTGAAGGTTGATCGTATATGAGGTCATGTATGGTTTATGGGGCCATTCCGACCCGTTTTAGTGGTAAAAACAGGGAATTGATTTTTCCCCCATTGACTTATAGGTAATGGGGAGGTCGAGAAATTGACCTGACCTTAGGTCACCGATATCAAAATTCCGAGATATACAAATTGTAGCTACTAATGACCTAATAACATCCTGCGACTTTCAAAGGCCTCCGACATCTACTGTAGCTCTGGCACGGTGACAAAGTTGCAAAAAAGTGACTTGAGGTTGGGTCATTCAAAGTGACCTGGTGACCTGACCTTAAAAGTTAGGAGGTTGAAACTTGCACACCATGTGTAAAATTGATGAGTGAATAGTCATACAAACTTTCGCGGCGCTACGCGCCGCGGTTTTCCCGCTATTCGCGAAAAACCTCAGGGGGGGGGTGGATATCCGCCCCCCCGTCGGTGCGCGGGTTAATATGCTCAGAGAGTTTTCCTGTAGATCAGAGGACCCGTCACGCGCGCTCAGGGGCCTCTTCATGCACTTAAGGGCCCTGTCGTGTACTCAGAGAGCCTTTCTGTGGCTTAGAGGGCCCCGTGAAGCGATCAGGGGCCCCATCATGCGCTCAGGGGGCCCTGTCGTGTATTCAGAGGGTTTTTCTGTTGCTTATAGAGTGCCCTCGTCAAGTTATCAGGGGCCCCGTCAAGCGAAGTTAAAACCTTGCCATTGGGGCCCCTCTGGGCCCTTTCCATTGGTTGTAGAAGGGCCATTTGGGCCTGAGACCCTGCCACTGGGGCCCCTCTGGGCCCTCCATTGAGTTCGCAGGAGTCCTTCAAGCCTGAGACCTTGCCGCTAGGGCCCCTCTGGACCCTCTTCATTGGTTATAAAAGGGCCCTTCGGGCCTAAAGTTTTGCCACTGGGCCCATCGGGGCCCCTTTCCATTGTGTTCCCAGGGGCCCTTCGGTTTTCTCAGTTCTAACATTTTTTTCATTTTTTAAAATAATTTTTTAACCTTCGCTCCAGTGGGGGGGGGGGCATATGTTACCACCCTGTCGCGTTTTTTTGCGTGTAAATAAAAAGCTACGCGCCGTCTTGGGTTAGCTTTTGGTTCGTCAACTTTAGACAATGTGTGAAATTTTAGACCCCAGGTCATGTCAGGTCAGGTCACCAGGTCAAGTTAACTGACCAAGCCTAAAAAAGTTTGCAATCATGTCCAGCCTGCAGTGTTTGTCAGAAAGGTTTTAAACTTGGTGGATTGCATGATGTTATAGGCGCCTACAATTTGTATATTTCAGATTTTTTATATCCGTGACCTAAGGTCAGGTCCGTGGCGTGACCTTTCCATTACAAGTCAGTGGAGAAAAATGAAAATGCCTCTAGATACGTGTGTACGCATAGGAACAGTCCAAATATTTCAGAATCACAATGATTTGGACCACCCGTGATGACCAAGATGTCATTTTTGCTGATAGCCTCTAGAAAGGTCATCCGAGGTCATTTGAGGTTACAGATTTTTGCCAATAACTCGCGATTGGAAAGAGCTAGAACGCTGGGGATGGCCTCATTGTGTTTGTCTTGCCGAGACGCATCGACTGATATGCAACATGACCTTTTCCGGTCAGGTCATGACCTTGACCTGAGGTCAAATTTTCAAGTTGACCTTTCAAGGTCAAATTATAGTTCATTCGACGCGCCTCGGCGAGAGGAACACGATTCTGGCAATAGAAATGTCGTGGCTTTTTGTAGTCGAAAGTTATTATCGAAAAACACTGTTCGTAAAAACAGCTATTTTTGGAGTTTTTGCCCTCTGGAGGCTATACCGTTGACCTGAGGTCAATTTTGATAATAACCTTATCAAAAGAAGAGCTCAAAAGCTATCGATTGCTTTTCATGCGTTTTTCTAGGTACCATAGTTCCTGAGATAACGGCTTGTTTTCTGAAAAATATAATGACAGTTGTCAAAATTTGAACTTTGATGACCTCTGGTGACCCCAATATTGTTCTAAGATGAGAAATGACAGAAATACTTTCAGACGTACGCATTGAGAGCTATCGACTGCTTTTTGCCGCGTCTTTCTAGCCCTCTTAGTTTTTGAGTTAGAGGTGGGTGGTAACATATGCCCCCCCCCCCCCCCACTAGGGCGAAGTTGGCTGAGACAGCCCCAGTGCACTGGGGCGCGGGTTAAATTTATTTGGGTCCCCTCCAAAAAATAGTTGATGAAATGCGATGACTTTTTGGATTTTGAGGGGGTTTACCTTGGGCCCTGTAAGTTTGGCCCCCTCCTGGAGGAAATCCTGGCAACGCCCCTGACCCACCCTTTGCCGTTTCGCCCCTGATCAAGCTAGAGCTTCGCGGAAAAAGGAGCGTATTGCACGTGACGAGAGGAAGCCGATCATACCCAACTTTAAGGTCCTAGGTCATTGTTTGACCTTCCAGATCAGGTCAATGACCCAAAAGTCGAGAAAATCGGGACCTGTTAGAACGTCGTAAAATGTGGCTGCTATGGGTTTTTCGGGATGCTGATCACGAATACCATGTTAGTTTTTGATCACAGATAATGCCTTCATGCATTTAGGCCTGGTCGGGTAAGGTCAGGTCAGGTCAGGCCAGGTCAGGTCAGGTCAGGTGAGGTCAGGTCAGGTCAATCAGTAGGGGTTCTGCCGGGTATTCGTTGTAGGTGTCAACCGCCTCTGACAGCTTCGTAGCATGTAACGAAGGCACCAAAACTACTTCGTAAATCTTCATATGGTTGCTAAATTCGAATTCACCTAAAAAACTGACCTTGAAATATGTAAAATTTGTTTCAGGGTAAAAATTTGTTTCAGATTCAGGGTAAGGTTCAAGGTCATCCTAGGTCATCTAAAACATTGCGTTTTAGGCAAGCTGAATTTACTTTTCGTTAAGTTTCTTTGACTGCATTTTTGGTAAAAGCTTCTCAATTCATGATCTCATGTAACAGGGACACACAAACCAATCGGTGCACACATCACTATACACAGACACAAACACAGACATACAAACACATATCATTGACCTTGACCTAACCTGACCTGAAATGACCCCAGTCAGCAAAAGTTAGTCGCATAGTGTGACAAAGAGCTGTTCTAGCTGGCTTGACACCAATATTGCAGCGTCATCGGTATATGATGGGCACTGCACGTGATATTCCAACGGTGACCCCAAACAGGAACATTATTTAGTTTGACCTGACCTGGAAGGTCAATGACTGCACATTGAGGTAAAATTGGATACCATTGGATTTGTCTCTTCCAAAAGAATCTGTTAGTTTTTACCGCGAAACTCTATCTCCAGCAGGAACGAAATGGCGCGGGGGTATAGCACCCCCCCCCCCATGTGCGCTCTACGGTGGAAAAATGGCATGTGCGGGCGAGGGTTTAAAAAACTAACCCCGACCACTCTAAGTAGGTACACTTTCCACCGACTGCCGTCCTGTGTTCTTATCAAACATCATGGGCTAGATGGCGATAGTAATGACGCTGATACTGAACAGTTTTAGTCATGTACAGTACCGCGAGTCAGTGTCTTATTTGTTACATTATCACCGTGAGGCACGATGCAGTGCTCATTATTTGAACAAATCGTAAAATTAAAAAATCATTATTTAAACAAATCGTAACAAATCGTAAAAATAAATGCATAAAAACATGTTGAGCGGAGTAACTAGATTTGGCAACTCTCTTGCCCATGCTGATAAATGGCATGCCATAGCACATGGTTACGAGCGAGCGAGCGCAGCGAGCGAAGCGAAGTCTTTTCAATATAACGGAAAAATCTCAGTATGAGCGGCCCGGCCCGGCCCGGCCCGGCCCGGCCCGGCCTGTAACGCTTTTGAGAGGCTTATATCTCAGCAACCGCTGGACCGAATGGCCTGCGGTCTTTTTTACTGGGTAGCCCCATCCCTTCTACCCCGTAATTGACTACTTTTGATACATCTCAGTGACCGCCGTGGCACGTGCCACGTGAAAAGTCAAGGGTGTTCAAGCAGTTTTACAAAAGTAATGATTTTGAGAGGCCCATATCTCAGCAGCGGCTTGAGCGATTGTCTTGCGGTCATTTTTATAGGGTAGCTGCATCCCTTCTACCAAAGGTCGGATACTCTTCATCTATGTGAGTGACCCCCACTGCACGTGCAAAATACAACAATAAGAGGTGCCAAATTTGTTCCCATTTCAGTAACTCGGTAATTACTGGGGCGATTTCGCTGAAACTTGGCATACAGGTAGGCACCCACCAGGCAATGCATTCCCATGTGTTGCGGTTAGGGTGCTACTGCACGTGCGCACGTGCAGGGGGCGTTTCCAGATCTCGAGAACGGCTGGGCCGATTGCGCTCAAATTTGGTACACGGTTGGGGACCGGTCAGTAGGGTGCCGTGCAAAAGTCATTTTGGACCCCGTTTGCACGTGCGCACGTGCAGAATGCCGCTTCCAGATCTCAGGAACGGCTGGGCCGATTGCGTTCAAATTTGGTACACCGCTAGCGACCGGTTAGAAGGGTGCTTTGCACAAGCCCGTTGGAAGTACCCTTTCGCCCTTTTGCACGTGCAGGGCTCACTATCTCGCTCGCTCGTTCTTCGCCCAAAAGGCGTTTTACTGGTTTTTACCTTGTACTGTGAATAGTGATCCAGTTTTTTTTCTTTCGATTTGGTCGCCTATCGACCGTCCTCCCAGCGTATGACTTCTGCCTGACCTGCTGTGTTCCAGACTCGCCGCAGGGTGACCGCGACGGAGGGGTCCAAGACGAGGAGCAGCACTGCGATGAGGAGGAGCAGCCATCAGAGGGTCCGCCTCACCCACACGGGCAGAGGTGGCAGCTGATTGAACAGCAACATCAGCAGCGGTGGAAGGAGCTGGAACTACAACATCAGCGGCTATGGCAGGAGCTAGAGGATCCAGGTCACGAAGATAGAGTGAGGATGGACAAAGAGCATGAAGAGGAGCGTCGGCATCTGGAGCAGAAACACGGTACGGAGTGGCAGAACCTGGACGAACGTCACTATGAGGAGCGCATTAAGCTTCATCAGCAGCACAAAGAGGACACTGGATGCATCAACATGCCGACTGAGGACCAGTTGAGGCAGCTGGACCTCTCCCACCAGCAGCAGTGGGAAGACATCCAGCAGACCTTGCGGCAGCAGTGGCAAGAGCTGGAGCTCAGACACCAGAGAGAGTCACGGGAGCTGGAAGAGAGGCGTCATCAGCTGAGACAGAAGTTAGAAAAACAGCTTCAGGAGCAGGAACAAGACGATCAGCGGCAGAGCCTGCTGGCGCGTCACCAGGAGGAGTGTGAACAGCTCCTTCGGCAGCACGAGGAGGACTCTCGAGGTGTGAACGTGCCGGCCGAGAGACAGCCGCAGACGCAGAGATCGGTGACCAAAGGACAGCGGAAAGCGCAGTCTCGGAGACAGCGGAGACAGCGCGCAGTTCTGGAGCAACAGCACGCCGCACAGCGGGTTGGTCTGGGGCGGAAACTCCGAACACAGCGGAACAAAATGGAGCGCAGACACAAACAGGAGTCACAAGAGCTGGAAGAGAGGCTCCCAAACATCCGGTCAGAGAAGTTGGATCGACTGCTGGAGTGCAGCAGCAGACGTCACGAGCTGCAGGAGGAGCTGCAGAAGGAGCTGGAGAATGAGCAGGAACACGACGATGAGCGGCCGGGTCTGCTAACGATTCACCAGGAGGAAGGCATTGAGCAACACGGGGACTCATTCATCGATGATCCGTTAGATTAGCTAGATCACTACCAATAAGAAAATCTCCAGCAGGTCCTTCAGCAGCAGTGGAAAGAGCTGGAGGAGAGATTCCAGAGAGAGTCACGAGACCTGGAGGAGAGACACCCGTACATAGGCTCTGAAGAGGAAAATAATCAGATGCTGAAAGAGTGCAGGAGCAGACGTCACGAGCTGCATACAAAACTACAGAAAGAGCTGGAAAAGAAGATGCAGAAACCTGGCAGAAACAGCTTCAGGAGCAGGAACACGACCATCAGCGGCAGAGCCTGCTGGCGCGTCACCAGGAGGAGCGTGAACAGCTCCTTCGGCAGCACGAGGAGGCCTCTCGAGGTGTGAACGTGCCGGCCGAGAGACAGTCGCTCGTACTCAGAGCTCGACTTCAGCTGGAGCGACAGCAGCTGGATCAGAGACGGCGAGGGGAGCTGGAATCTCTGGAGCGGAATCACGCACTACAGCTGGAGGCGCTGCGACTGAAGATGCGGCGTGAATGGGTCCAACTAGAAGAACAGCACCGACAAGAGTCCAGGGAGCTGGATTGCCGAGCAAACGACTGAGAGAAGCATCGACTGAAGACAAAGTGTCCGAGGCACCATAAAGGATGTCTCAGGCACCACGAAGGATGTCCGAGGCACCACGAAGGATGTCCGAGGCACCACGAAGGATGTCTCAGGCACCACGAAGGATGTCTCAGGCACCACGAAGGATGTCTCAGGCATCAGACGCTGGAAAATATTCTGGCGACGAGACCAGAGTGTGACGTCATCACGGTTTCCGGTCTCCACCGCTCCCTGTTCACGGTGAGTCCCGGACGCCGCTGGGAGATCCCCCACCGGGGTGGCCATACAGTCACACAGGGGCGCCTCTGGGAGATCCCCCACCGGGGTGGCTATACAGTCACACAGGGACGCCGCTGGGAGATCCCCCACCGGGGTGGCCATACAGTCACACAGGGACGCCGCTGGGAGATCCCCCACCGGGGTGGCCATACAGTCACACAGCCGCTGGGAGATCCCCCACCGGGGTGGCCATACAGTCACACAGGGACGCCGCTGGGAAATCCCCCACCGGGGTGGCCATACAGTCACACAGGGACGCCGCTGGGAGATCCCCCACCGGGGTGGCCATACAGTCACACAGGGACGCCGCTGGGAGATCCCCCACCGGGGTGGCCATACAGTCACACAGGGGCGCCGCTGGGAAATCCCCCACCGGGGTGGCCATACAGTCACACAGGGGCGCCGCTAGGAGATCCCCCACCGGGGTGGCCATACAGTCACACAGGGGCGCCGCTGGGAGATCCCCCACCGGGGTGGCCATACAGTCACACAGGGACGCCGCTGGGAGATCCCCCACCGGGGTGGCCATACAGTCACACAGGGGCGCCGCTGGGAGATCCCCCACCGGGGTGGCCATACAGTCACACAGGGGCGCCGCTGGGAGATCCCCCACCGGGGTGGCCATACAGTCACACAGCTTGTGCTACTTTGGTAAGGGCGCATGTGTTTTTGATGGGTGGAAAGAAGGGGGGGGGGGGGTGTAAAACGAATCGTCGTGGTGCGGGTGAAACGGTTACTGATGTGATGAATCTAAAAATATGTCCGTGTGGTCAGGATCGTATGACAGGGCTTACGTCTTGTTTCAGCTCCAACATCACCATCAACCCCAGCATGACCATCATCATCACCATCAGCAGCACCATCACCAGCACCAGCACCAGCACCACCGGCTCCGGGATCGATCCCACCACCAGCATGTCCGTAAGTGTCGAATCATAAAATGGCCATGAACTTGTGAAACGTATTCCTATCGTCATAGTTTTGATCATCCTGTTCGTCTTACTTCTTTGTCTTACAGTGTTCAACACGCTGATCTAAAATCATACTGACTGTTTTTCAGATCATCTACCAGCACCACCAGCAGCGTCACCAGCATCACCAGCACCACCACCAGCACCACCGGCTCCGGAACCAAGCCCGCCACCAGTCTCCGTGAGTACAGACGTGATAACCGGGCAGACTGTTGCCTGTTGCTTGTATCTGGGAAACGAAAACATTTGACGATGCGCAATGATGCAGAAACTATAAAAAAAACAAAAAATGAAAAAAAGAATAAAAGCAGTGAAATATTTGATTTTTTCATTGTCTTCGTTAGGTACATTTATATTTATTCGGTCTTACAAACTGTCAGTTCCGACTCTTCTTTGATCTTACCAATAAATAGTCCTTTACTTGTCATGAAAAACACCATGAACGTATTCTTTTTTCAGTAATATATTTAACGGTCTTGCTATATGTTATCGATACTTTTTGTATTGAATGTACTTGTCCGAACATTTTTGTTTATTTTGCCGTAGACATTGCTACCGCTCTGTCTGTATGATAAGGTGATCGTTTCGTCTGTCATATATAATGATTCAATCGTTCATATTGTTTCAGGTTTGCCATCACCACCATCACCACCACCAGCACCGCCACCAGCACCACCGGCTCCGGAATCAAGTCCTCCACCAGCCTCCGTGAGTGTCTTATCATTGAATGCATCCTGAAACGTAAAACTTGTTCTTTCCGCAATGTTACATAGGATTTGTGGTCCATAATTTTTTTTTCATATTCAGATCGATAGGAATAGCAAATAGTAATATTGATATAATAATACAACAATAATAACGGAATCCGTCAGGATTTTTCTGACCGTAGGGCTGGTTGAGAGGTGAATCCACTGTATTTGATAGGAGTTGTATCGGTTTGTGGCTAATTTGTATTTCCTCCATTTCAGACCACCAACCAGCACCACCACCAGCACCACCGGTCTCAGCTCCAAGCCCGCCACCACCAGCACCACCGGCCTCAGCTCCAAGCCCGCCACCACCAGCACCACCGGCCTCAGCACCAAGCCCGCCACCACCAGCACCACCGGCCTCAGCACCAAGCCCACCACCAGCCTCCGTGAGTATCTTTTTATCAAGTGACCATAAAAGCTATATTTTTTATTTTAGTCGTAAGTTCGAGACACACTGATATTTATTTTTCATCACCAAATTTATATCGATAGGTTATATATTTTTCTGTAACAAATATTACATCAGGAATGCAGTGCTGATGAACGCAAGAGGTGTGAAGAATAAAAGTGGCGCAATAATTTTCTTACAGTGAATAACAAGTGGAACTCAACATGTGCACTTCTTTTTCAGGTCATCAACCAGCACCACCACCAGCACCACCGGCTCCGGAACCAAGCCCGCCACCAGCCTCCGTGAGTACAGACGCGATGTCGGCGGGAACACTGTCTTCTCCTGTACCGCACGACTCAGTAGTTTGATATTTAGCCAACATATGGCTCTGGCATACAGCGCCTGAAGCATGCTGTACCACTCGACTCAGTAGTTATTCATCTCGACAACAGATGGATCTAGCATATAGCGCCTGAAGCATGCTGTACCGCACGACTCAGTAGTTTCAGTGTTAGCCAACAGATGGTTCTGGCATACAGCGCCTGAAGCATGCTGTACCGCACGACTCAGTAGTTTCAATGTTAGCCAACAGTGACCAAATGGCTCTGGCATATCGACACCTTTTTTTAAACCACACATCTGTTCTCCGGGGAATTTCCGGGAAGCATGAAAGATCTCTTTTTAGAAGTGTCCAATCGTCCGATCCTGATCAAATATGTGCGTTCGTAAGCTTGCTCTGGCATTGCTTGATCTGCCAAAATAGACAAACTTGTACCTTTTTTGAAGGTTTCTAAGTGACTTGTCTGAACTTCACGGGAGAACAAATATGGGGTTTAAAAAGAAGGTGTCGATATGGCGCCTGAAGCATGCTGTACTGCACGATTCAGTAGTTTGATATTTTGCCAACAGATGGCTCTAGTATACAGCGCCTGAAGCATGCTGTACCTACCGTCCGACTCAGTAGTTTCAGTGTTAGCCAACAGAAGACTTTGGCATACAGCACCTGAAACATGCTGTACCGCACGACTCAGTAGTTTCTTATGTCAACAACAGATGGCTCTGGCATACAGCGCCTGAAGATTGTTGCGCCGCAGGTCTCAGTAAATGCATAGGGAAGCCCACAACCAGCCTCTGAGAGTTGGGACGTGATGTCATTGGCACACTGTCGCCCGTGGCTAGTTTTTAGCAAAGGAACGCTTGACGTTGATAATTGATACACAGGCGAAACAAATGGATCCGACATTGCCATGGATACACTTTTAGATTCGACTTATACGAAACTCTAAATTGCGACTCTTCTTTGCTGTTTCCAATAGTCCTCTATCTGTGTGAAGACACCATGAACTTGTTTTTCAGTTACAAATTTTACGTTTACGTTATTGGTGTCGAAACTTTTTGTATTGCATAATAGTATCAGAGCAATTTTGTTCATTTTGCCCTAGACATTGCTACCGCTCTGTCTGTATGATAAGGTGATCATGTCAAATACAATAAATACATCGTTTGTATTTTTTCAGGTCCGCCATCACCACCGTCCCCAGCATCACCATCACCATCACCATCACCACCACCACCGGCTCCGGGATCAAGCCCGCCACCAGCCTCCGTGAGTGTCTGATTTTTGAATGCAACCTGAAGCGTGAAACTTGTTCTTTTCTCAATGTTAGGGGAGAGTGGGGTGGGTTGTAACAGTTTTTACTCCGAGACCCATAACCTCATAACTATCCGTGATAAACTCATTATTTCCATAATATCTCCTTCCTTGATTCTTCTGCTTTTTTTTGCAAAGTAACTTTTCCGCTACCTCTACCAGTTTTTCTTCTACGGTCTGCCGAAAAGAACAATGTTTTTGATACAACTTACCCCATGGCTTGGGTGAGTTGTATCACATGGTGGGGTAATTTGTATCACCATTTTACGTTTCAGGGAGTGTGCTTGCTACTGGTTTTGAACATAACAACAACATTAAATGGGGTTAATACAATGTATATATGCTCAAAGGCTTCACTTTTATTAGACCAAACTTAGGTCAATCCGAACGAAACATCGAAACGAACGAAACATCAACAGACTAGGTGCAAAAGTGGCCCGTTAACAGCAAAGAAGAAAAACATTGTGCCGAAATGGAACGAGTATTGACTAGCTACCTACAAACGCGAGCCAGGGCTTAGCTTTCGCGATCAAAAGCAACATACCCATACATACATACATACATACATGTTACAAAATACCCCACCCGGCTCTGATACATGTACCTCGCCGCCATCTTGGAAAAACATCCTCGTGCTCAAAAACAGCGGACAGCTGGAGAAATCCATTTTCACTCACGCAGCCTTAGAACCTACCCTCACCAACGCTACGGAGATCTTTCAAATTCGTGCACATCTAAATGCCCAAAACACACATTTTCTTGCAACTTATTTTTTTAGAATGACATTAAAAAACATAAAATCGGCTGTCACCTCGAGACGCGTCCACCCAGCCACACGACAGAACAGGGAAAGATGGCGCCCGGAAAACCTCGTCGGCTGGTCGTGTCACGAGCGTCATCTATTGAATAAGTTTGGCACAATTCGCCCTGATACAACTTGGACATGATACAACTCTCCCCACTCTCCCCTACATAGGATTTGTGGTCATATTTTTTCATAATCAGATCGATAGGAATAATATTCCCGCGTGGGGCTGGGGGGGGGGTAAATTTTACCCCCCCTCGCGAATTTTTGCAATACGCCAAACTTTTAGTACCTTTTCTTACATCAATTTGACACGTTCCCTGAAAAATTTAGCGAAATCCGTCGGAACATTTTTGAGAAATTGACGTTTTAGTGACGTCATGTTCGCCATTTTCGCCTCAAAAAACGGCAAAACTTCAAACGCCGCTAACATCTTCATTTTTAAAGGAATCCAGACGTAACAAAAAAGGTTATACGTAATTCTACTTTGTCTATGAAATGGCTATCTCGGTTTTTTGAAAATTTTGGATTTTGGCCCAAATTTTTTTCAAAAACTGACTTTTTTGGGAAAATAATTATAAAATCCAAAATTTTGAGCGTATCGAAAAAACCCGAATATGTGTCAGAGAAGTGGTCTATGTGCACCTACATACCAATTTTTAGAAGAATCGGTTCAAAAATGTAGGAGTTATTCAAGATTTTATGACGTCACGACACACAAAAATTTTGAAAAATGATTTTTGGGAAGTTCTAGACCTCGTACGGAAACAAACATAGCACCATTCGATTCGCCGTGAAAAAACTGCATCAGATAGACACCTTTTTAGGCCTTAACAACCAACTTCAAAATTTGACATCACTTGACCTGACCTTGACCTGACCTCGACCTGAAATTCATCCAGAGGTGGTTTATATCACTTATTGAGTGTGCCTATTGAATTCTATGAGTAAAATGACCCATAAAACATGTGTCGCACACGCCCTTTTCTATATTTTGTTTTTTGGTGACCTGACCTGACCTGACCTGACCTGACCTTGACCTCGACCTTTGAATGATATTGTATGCAACGAATATTGTCTTGGTAGCCTAAGAACACGTTTTTGGGCAGTCAGTCTCAGTCGATGACTCAATTCTTCAGCAACTACGGTGCAAGGCCGATACTGTAGAAACTTGCAATTTGTACCCTTGACCTGACCTTGACCTTGACCTCAAACTTTAAATTAAGTACATGTTTTTAGTTGTTCGTGATGAGATCTTTCGATTGACGTTTGATTTTTCCAAATCGGACCCTTAGTTCGGGA